GGAAGGAAGGGAGGGAGGGAAGGAAGGAAGGGAGGGAGGGAGGGATACTACTCAGCCATTAAAAAGAATGAAATTTTGCCATCTGTAACAACATGGATGGACTTGGAGAGTATGAAATAAGTCAGGCAGAGAAAAGACAAATACTGTCTGAGCTCACTTATATGTGGAATCTAAAAAATACAACAAACTATTAAATATAACAAAAAAGAAACAGACTCACAAATATAGAGAACAAACTAGTGGTTACCAGTGAGGAGAGGAAAGGGGAAAGGGGCAATTTAGGAATGATGTATTAAGAGGTATAAACTACTATGTGTAAAATGAGCTACAAGGATATATTGTACAGCACAGGGAATACAACAAATATTTTGTAATGACTATAAATGGAGTATAACCTTTAAAAATTGTGAATCACTATATTGTACACCTGCAACATATAATATTGCACGTCAACTATACTTAAATAAAAATAAATAATTTTTTTAAAAAGAAAAACTATTTCATCATATAACTCATTTCTCAAGAGAACTGGAAAAGGGAGGCCCTGCAACTATCAACACCATTCCAGGAAAGAGGAGCTGTGCCCTGGATTAGCAATCTCCCAGGAAGCCTGTGGCTGTTGCACAAGCCAAAACACACTTAGACGTCAAGAAGTAATTGCTGCAAATGACTGTTTTTCCCAATTTGGGAATCAACAGGAAAACCTCTGCCTCCCCATCCCAGCTGCCCATGCTAATCTCTGGCTGCATATCATGGAGAAATTGCCATGATACAGTGTGGGAAAAGAGTTACTCAGCAAACAAGGATGTAGAGATGGAGGGGAGGGGACAACCAGTGGGCAAAGAGAAGACACAGAGAAGCAGAGAGACCCTGAAAACATTAAGGCCAAAAGCACCCTCAGAAATCACAAAGTTCAGTTCCTTGTCCCCATTTTACAGACGCAGAGAATGAGGCCTGAAGAGTAGAAATGATTTAGAGTCATCCTGTCTCAGTGAGATCAACAGCCGTAAAAGACATCAACTCCAATCATCTCTCTAATCATTGACTCTCTCCTAAAATATCTCCCAATAACTGGTTATTCAGGTCTTGTATTTACTCATGGGACAGAGCTCCCACCTTTGGAAGCTGCATGATTTACCAAGGAATAGCACTGTCGTGGGCTTAACATTGAGCTGGAATATGCCTTTCAGGACCATCCACTCATTCAACTGTCTGGATGCCACAAAGAATAGTAAAATGACAGTCACAACAGCAATGATCATAATACAGGCCCACAATCCAAAGTCCAAAAATGTGAGAAAAAGCTCTAAAAATGTGAGGAGCAAATGTGAGATTCATATGATGTATTTTGGCAGCAGAAGCTGACTGGAAAGGGCGAGTGTGTGTGTATTGGTGTGTAGATGATTCCTACTTAGTGTGAGTACACTTACAGGAATATTTCTGTGTTTGATTACAGAGCACTGTTCTAGACCCCACTGAGAGTGTTACACAATGTAAGGCATGTGGAGTGTATTACTAGGATGAACCATATAAAATTATTGTACATCAAGAATGGTCAGATACTGGCAATTTCATAGAGTTCAATGTAATGCTTTTCTAACACCTGGTCCCAAGGACTTTGCATTAAGGACTTGAGGACCTGTAATCAAAAGAGGAGCCTCCACTCTGGAGCACTAACTATGTCATAAGTGCTGCACCAAGAGTGACTCTCAAATTAGTATCTCCATCCAGGCCTCTCCCCAGGACCCCAGACTTGTCATCCGACTGCCTCCTCTTTATGCTATCTCCACTTGGTGTCTAAAATCACCTTAAATGGTGCATGTCTTGATCCAAGATCTCAAGCTTCCTCCCACAGTCTTTCTTGTCTCCTTTAAGGGCATCTCCATCCTTCTGATGCTCCAATTAAGAACTCAGACCCAGACTTTTATCTTTCTCTCTCACCCCACATCTGGCTTGATAAGAAAGTATGTCTATTCTATCTCAAAATATACCCAGACTCTGCCGTTGCTTGTGACCCTCCCTGCCACCACCCTACCCAATCCACCATCATGCCTCACCTTGGTTACTGCAGCAGTTTCCAAACTTGTCTCCCTGATTCCACCCTTCTCCCTTCAGCATAGCAGCCAGGATGTTCCTCTTGAAGTGAAATCAGAACTGGCCAACCTTCTGCCCTACATATTCCAAAGAGTCTCCACCTCACTGAAGGAGAAGCCAAGTCTTGCCCAAGTCCCACCTTAGATGCCCTGTGTGCTCAGCCTCCTCTGACACTGCTCTGGCCTCATAGCCTCTGTTCTCCTCACTACCACTCCAGCCATCCTGGGCACCCTGATGCTCTTTGAACACACCTGCTTCAAGGTCAGGAGCCGTCTACTAGACACCCACAGGCTTCCCCTCACACTAGGTCTTCATTCAAATATCTACTCTCAGGAAAAGTTGCCTTTCCTGACCATCCTATTTTGAATTGCAACTAAAATAAGCTAGCTCTTTCTGTTTTTAATTTTTCCCTAAAGCACCAAGGCCATCAACTATGCTATAAATTTAAATTATTTATTTTGTCTTCTGGCCATCTCCCCCCACTAGAATATAAACTTCATAAAAGCAGGGGTTTTTGTCTGTTCTCTTCACTGCTTTATCCTACCACCTAGAACAATATCTTGCACCCAGTAGTAAGCACCCATGTGCAACAACTCGTCATTTGTCTGTAAGCTATTTAGACTCCTCTGCCTTAGATCCACTGAGAATCAAAAAGGAAGGAAGGAGTACCTTGTAGCAACCAAAATGTCTGAATCTCCAGAGAGGTTATCCAGATGACAAATAAGTGCATGAAAAGATGTTCAACATCATTAGCCATTAGGGAAATGTAAATTAAAACCACAATGAGATATCATTACATACTTAACAAAATGGCTACAATAAAAAATAGGAATAACACCATATTCTGGAGAGAGGATGCAGAGAGACTGTTGGATCTTTCGCATACAGCTGGAGGGAAGTACAATGAGAAAACCACTCTGGAAAACAGCCGGCAGATAACTATAAACTGAACGTATGCCAACTATATGACCTGGCAACTTCACTCTTGGGCATTTACACCAAAGAAACGAAAACTTGTTCACACAAAAACCTGTACACCAGTATCCATAGCAGCTTTATTCACAGTAACTCTAAACTGGAAATAACCCAAACGGCTATCAATGGGTAATGGGTTAAATAAACTGTGGTCGATTCATATCATGGAATGCCATACAGCAGTTAAAAGAAATGAAGTATTAATCATGCAATAATTTGGATGGACCTCAAGGAAATGATGCTAAGTAGAAAAAAAAAGCCAAATGCAAAAATATACAGGATGCATGATTCATTTAGATAACATTTATCAAATAACATAATTACTGAGTTGGAAAGCAGATTAGTGTTTGCCAGAGGTGAAGGGAGGAGGACAGGAAGGCTGGCAGCTGTGACTATGAAATGTAGCATGAGGGATCTCTGTGATGGAGCTTTTCTGCATCTTGACTGTAACAATGGTCACATGAATGTACTCATGTGAGAAATATCACAGAACCAAATACATATACACAAATAAGTGCATATAAAGCTGGTAGGATCCGAATATCAATGTCAGTGTCAATTTCCTGGTTGTGGTATGACATACTTACGCAAGATGTTGCCTTGGGGGAAATCTGAGTAAGAGGCATATAAAATCTCTCTGTATTTTTTTCTTACAACTATATGTAAATCTACATCTATAGTTATCTCAAATAGATGTCTATAGGTCTGTGCCCAAAAACTCTAATCCTCTTCCCATAGGACATTCCCCAGGCACAAATTCAGAATCCACTGACCCATCCTTTAAACAGCAGAATAACAAGCTTAGTTACTATGTTTTGCAGACAGCCAGATACGTTAGAATGAGGAGAGTCTGCTAGAGTCCTCAAGGTCACACAACAGAGGCACTGAAACCCAGGTCTCCAATCCCCGGTCTGGTGTTTTTAGTAATCACCATCTTTTGAAGCCTTCTTATATTGTAGATGATAATTCGTACCTCTTCATTTGAAACTATACATTTACTCCTTTTTTTTTTAGAGGTTTTTTTTTTTTGGAGGAGGAGGAGGGTAGTCTGATTGATTGATTGACTGATTTTTAGAGAAGGTACTGGGGCTTGAACCGAGGCCCTCGTGATGCTAAGCACACACTCTGCCACTGAGCTATACCTTCCCAACCCCTACATTTACTACTTTTAAGACACTGATTTGATCAAGCACACTAATTTTCTAAATAAGAAATACAAGGGTAAGAAAACATTTGTAAATCTCTTTAAGATAATTTGATATTAAGTATGATTATGTGCTTAAAAGTTACAACAGCAAAGTTTTAGGTTAGTCTTAAGGGAAAGTTTCTTATTAGATTTGTTAAACCAAGAATGGGTAACCCAGGAACATAAAAAATCATCCTTTGCTGGGATTCTTTCAAAATATGTTAGATGCTTATTTCAGTAGGTGTTGGTTAGGAGTCTATTACATGACAGTTACTATGTTAGGAGCTACAGCCACAGGGAAGAGATATGACCTAGTACCTGCCCTCTTAGATCTGTATGAGAGTGATGGGAAAAAATAGTCAGTCACATCATAGTAGGAAGTATTCAATGAAAGGGAAAGAAGGGGAGGCTATCAGAACATAGATGAGCATCTCACCCCTAATCCTGGAGGCAGGGAGATGCAAAAAGATATCTACATGAAGTTAGAAATCGGGGAGCTTGGTGATATGAAAGGAAAGGACCAGTGAGGGGAACAGCATGGACAACAATGCCGCTAGTCCATATGTGCATTTGGGGGAGCTGCAGCTTGGGAAAATGGTGTGAGAAGATCTGGACACTTGAGGAGGGTTGATGGTGGCCAGGGACCAGGTCATGAAAGGCTTTTCCAAGTAGTCTGAAGTGTTTAGGCTGGGATATAAGCAGAAGTAGCAACTGAATGGAGACACTAGTCAGAGTAGTTTCCACCACATGCCACAGGACATCCTTAAGCTTTCCTCTTTCTGCAGTCCATCTTTTTGCAGGGTCCTCTACTCTTCTCCAATATCAACCTCCCTAAGCTTCACAGCCTAGTTCCAACACCACCTTTTTCTCCAGGAAGCCTCCCCAACCCCTAACTGGAAGGGATGATCTGCAGTGGGTGTGGGTGTCTGTGTATGTGCACTGTACAGCATCACATGCAGTGCAGTGTAATAGTTAGGAGCCTCTGGAACCAGCGTGCCCCAGTCCCAACCCTGGCTTTACTGCACACTCTCTATGCTTCAATTTCCTCATCTGTCAAGTGGGAATAACAACATTACTACATCAAAAGGTTATCTCAGGATGGAATAATTTCATAGATACATTTAACTCACTCAGAAGAGTGACTGGCACAAAGCAGTGTTTAATCACTGTTAGCCTTTATTACATGTTGTGGCTGCCATGCACACCCAGCTTGGGCTCAGTCAGCTTTGGACTCATCAGAGAGTAGAAGTCAATGTCTTTCCTTCACAGTTGGTCAACACAGGCTAGAAATACACTTTCCTTTCACAGGCAACCTAGTGGTAGAGACAAGAACCCGAAACCATGATTTAAAAGAACTAGATCTTCTTTCTAGCTCCTCCATCTTAATCCCTGGCTGACCTAGGGCAAGTGTCTTCACCTTCCAGAACATCAGTATTCTCATCTATGCAATAGGAATGAGCTCCTAGGAGATTCAAAAAGACAGAGGGCATGGCATACTTTGCAAAGTGGTGATGCAAACATGATTGCCACTTCCCAGTCTGCAAACCACACCACACGCCTCTCCATCCTCACTTTCACTTCCAGAGGAAGCACAGTCCCCAGACTGGCACAGCTGGCAGGCCTCCAGGGCTAGGAGCAGGTATATTTCCATTTGTCCCACCCACTAACTTGATGAATTCTTTTTCTCCTCCTCCAGGGACTTTCCTAACTTCCTTCTGTAAACGAAGGAAAGAGCACATGAGCACACTGTATATAAATATGCTTGGGAAAGCTTTCTTCTTCTTCTTCTCTTTTTTTTCCCCCCTTAAACCAAACTTGGTTTCTGTTGTAGGCGGTGCATTCCCTAGTAGGGCGGGGAACAGCATGCTGTGAAAAGGGGAGTTGGGGAGGAGCAGGCAGTGATTAATTCACCCACTGTGAGAGCTGGGCTTCTATTTAATGGGGGGGGGTCTCTCTGGCCAGGAGGAGTCAGAGGCAACTCCAGGACCAGCAGGAGCATGGCAGAGGATCTGGGGCTGGGCTTTGGGGAATCAGCCAGCGTGGAAATGCTGCCTGAGGACGGCGACTGCAGGCCCAAGGCCAGAACTGGGTCAGCATCCAGGAGCAGCAGTGCACGCTGGGCTCTCACCTGCTGCCTGGTATCACTCCCCATCCTGGCAGGACTCACCACCTACCTGCTCGTTGGCCAGCTCCGGGCCCAAGGAGAGGCTTGTGTGTTCCAGGTAAGCAAGACTCTGCAGTGACCTGGGAGATCAGCAGAACTCTGCAGCCACCTGGCTGCTATTACAGCTTTGGACGGTGCACCTTGATTCATCTGCAAAGGAAGTGTAGAATGTGAGGGGCGGAGAGGTCCGATTTGGTTTTTATTCTCAGTATTTCCAGGGGATGAATTGTGCCCTTTTATGTTTGTATGGGAACAAGCTCAAGCCACATATTTTAGATAATTATAATCATAGTGTTCTGATAATCTGGGAACATCCCTTTTCTTTAAAAAGAGAACTCTTTGATTACAAAATTAACACATGGTCATTGAAAAAAGGTAAAAAACACAATTAACAAAAGGGAGAGAATTATCATTATGCATAACTGCATAGAGGTGACTCCTGTTAACATTTTGAGGTATATAATTCCATATTTTCAATAAGATGGGATTATTTTTAGTCCAATATTATGATTTTATTTGTTAGTAAATTCACAGCAGCATGATGATATAGACGGTTGTATTATATTCCTGTATACGCATGTGCTATAATTTACTTAATCAACCTCCTTTCTTGGGTTCTGAAAATTTTTTTTCAAGCTCAAGAAAGAACCTCCCACCTGATTGTCAATCTCTCTGGTCTTGCTGGGGGCTTAGTCAAAAAAGAATATAGGGTCTAGGGAAGACAACAGTGCAACAGTGGGAAGGTGCTTATGGGCAACAGGGGGAAAACATAATTCTAGACTAGGAACTTAAAAAACTATAGAGCCTGAGAAATGCACATTCAAGTGACACCCTTTGAAAAAACTCACTTGCATAATCTATGATAACTGATTTAACTTCAGTCCAAGGTATTAAATTCCAGAGAAGAAAACGGGCTTCTCAGTTGGTTTCACCAGAAACATTTCTAAGCAATGCTGGCTGACCTCAAAGCAAAGACACTGTAAGCGAGCCATGGTTAATGTGTAACTCTCACCACCCACCAGCGTCAGCAAACAGACCAAGATTCATTCAGACAGCAGCATCCATGGCCACATGCCATCATTCAGAAAATGTAGAAATACTCAGATAACCAGAAATGCTCTTCATGTTAGAGGAGAGTGGAAGGGCAGGAGCTTTAGGCTGCGACCCCTAGACCACCATGCGGCTGGCTCCTACAAAGTCAAACTGCAGTGTCCAGTCAGCCTTCTTTGGCCAGAAAGAGATGGTTATTCTTGAATGAGGCATTGAGTGGCTTCCAGGAACCCGAGCTCTCCTGGGTCCTGATGGGAGATAACTCCTTTTACCCAAAACAGTGTCTGAGATTGCCCATGTCTTGTTGATCTACAAGCCCAGCAGCTGGAATGCCACAGCCCAGCGGGGGTCAGTGATTCACCCAATCAGGAAGAGAGTTTGAGGCATGACCTAGCACTGGACAGGAAGCCCCATGAGGGAAGGAGATGCATGCTTGCCCTACTGTGAGCACTTGAGAGATGAAAGGCTTTAAAGCGAGGCTGTCATCGTTAAACCAGTCTCCCTGGAGAGTGGACATGTGGGGACTTTTGGAGCTGTGGTTTGGCCAGGCTGTGTAACTTCTTGGTGTATCAAAAGAAGGAGGAAAACATGGGTAAGGCTGGGGCACATGCAGCAATGGGAGTCCTGAAAAGAGACACCTGACCCATTCAAAGCAGAAATTTAAAGAAGAATGTTTAAAGAGTTTAAGAAAGGTTGATTTGATAACATACAAACAGATTAATGGGAACTGCAGGGCTGGAAGCATCTGGGGCAAGCAAAGGTGTGAAGCTGGCCACCACCCTTTGGCCTGAAGAGGCAAACAGAGGGCCTGCCTGGAGGAGCTGAGGGCTGAGTTGAGGAAAGCCGTCTGCCAAAACAGCAGGGAGGGAACAGAAAGTGGGGAGGGAAAACTCTGACCACTCTCTGCAACCAGCCTCTCATCGCATTGGCCAGATGCAAATGGAGAGCGAGTGTGTCCAGAGGTCAGCCTCACAGGGCACAGGGCAGAGTCAAAAAGGGTGAAGAGTGGATCTGGAGGGGCTCACAGAATAGCCAGCTCAGAGGAGACAGAAGAAGATGGGATTCAAGGAGGAAAAACCAGGGCATCTGAGACACTTGAGTTTGATCCCCAGCTCAGTAACCTCTGGCCATGTGAAAATATGCATGTGGCTTCATTTTCCTGAGCCTGACCCCTACCCAAAAAGGATACTAGTATCAGTACTCTGACAGCACTAATAAAGCATGTACAGGGGCAGTTTATATGTCGGGAATGTGGGGGAGCTACACATTTGTGGTAAGAGGACTGGACAACACCGTTTGTCTCACGGAGTTCATACAAACTTCACCTTGTAATTGATGTGACCATCTGTGTTAGTTTCGTTGGCTTTCACCAGAGGAAAAAATCAATTTCTCATTTCTTTATGATAGAAAGCAGTTTTGCAACTTAGAGCAAGTTGCCCACCTAAATTAGGTACCTATCTTCCCACAGAAACTGGGAGATGGGGGCATTATCTGTCTTGAGGATCACATTTCAGACAAACCAGCTCTCATGTCAGGTGGGGAAGAAAAGGCCTATCTGATCTTCAGAAGGAGTTACGTACATTTCAAAGTGAGGTGAAAGTACTTACAAGTTTCCTAACCTAAACACTCTAGGAAAAAGGAAGGGAAAGAAATCTCTTCCCTTATTTTCAACAGAGGAACTAAGCCTCTTATTTCTTATTTACATTTGTCGTTATGATTTAGATCCCACGGTTGGTAAGACCTAAATCCAAAACTCGAACCCAGAGCTGTCTCCCCCAAAGCCTGGAACATTCCAGAAGCCCTGCAGATGCAAAGCTCCACGGTGATCTACCTGAGTGGACTTCCTCAGACTTACCTAGGGGCAAAAAATCACCTTCCCTCCCACCCCCAATCCAGCCCCACTGTCCTCTTCTTCTGTCCAAAGACTTCAGTTAAATCCACGGAATCTGAGATTGTTTATGGAAAGAATTTTCCATTCTCACAGTGGCCCAGGCCCAAGGCAATTCACTTCTAATACGGGGAGAATTAAGATAAGAGGATCACCCAGACCTTTAAATACATTCACAGGTCTGAAAAGCAGGCCCAGCAGCAGAGGACGATACTGACAGTAGTAATGCCATGATACTAGCTCCCATCTCTCCCTCGTAGAGAGCTCTCACAAACGAGATCCCACTGGATAGTCACACCAACCCAGAGATGCGGTGAGAGGGTGAGCAGTGGCTTCTGGCAGATGAGGAACTTGGAGAGAGAGCGCCTGCCCCAGTGAGCAGGGTCACAGCCTGGGAGGGGATGGAGCTAAGTCTCAGAGTTGGCAAATCCAGATGTCTCTGGTTTCTCTTCCCTGTTGCCTGCCCCCGCCACCCCCCACTACAATTGAACTTTTGATCAAGGAACACACTTTCCATCTGCCCTTTTTAGGGATGGATGAATTGGTCATCCTTATGTGTTGGGGAGGGAATGGGAGGATTCCGTAAAACAAGAAATTCTGTAAAGACAAGCCTGGACTGGATTCTCCACGCAGGAGCCAAAATGATTCTTGGAACCTTTCGCTGCATTGCATCAGGGCCCTGCCTCTGTGGATTCACTTTGTGCCCTCCCACTCCTCTCCCCTTCCCCTCCACAACCCCCACCCCGCCCCAGCCCTTGGCCTCTCAGCTCTGTGCTTCCCTCAGCTCCCAGCGCTCCAGCGCTCTCCTGCTCCCAGTCCTTACTTCGCTGTTCCCTCTGCCAGGACTGCACTAAGGGATTTTCTCATTCCACTCTCAGAACCACCACAGGAGGCCAGCATCCCTGAGAACCTTTTCTAATCCAACACAGGAGTTGAGGCTTGGGAAGAAGAGGCTCCAAGGAGCTTGAAAGGAAGGGAGTGAACAACATACAGAAGCTCCCTGAGTAATCCCCTTAAAGCCACCAACTGCAGTGCTGTGAGGATTACAAGCAGCTTCCATAAAGCTACTGGCAAGTGCCAGGCAGCATGGGCGCTGGTTGGCTGTTTTTCCCTTTCCTTCCTCTAAGTAGGAAAGCTCTTCACATATTTAAATAAATTAAGAGATGGAAATGCCCTTAACCCACGACTCAGCAGCTATGACCCAAGGGCCAAATCTCATGCACTGCCTGTTTTGTAAATAGTTTTATTGGAATCTAGCCACACCCATTCACTTATGCACAGCCTTGGCGGGTTTTCACACTGAACTGCAGAGCTAAGTATTTGCGACAGACACCATGTGACCTGCAAAGTTAATATTTACTACGTGGCCCTTTACAGGAAAAGCTTGCTGACCCTTGGTCTTGTCTAATCTCGTTTTACAGTTGAGGAAACCAAGGATCAGAGGAGGGAAGGTAAAGTTCAGGGTCACGGGGCAGATCGGGGCAGACCTAGAACGATGTCCTACTTCTATGCTTACTTGCCCTCATTCTCCCAGAAAGTGGGACCAACTCCAGTCTTGCTGGGTCCCTAGACCAGACACTGGAAAGGCAATGGAACTGGTGAAGTAGTGTTCCAGGTTCTCATTAGCAGCAACCAAAACCGCTACCAGGACTCACACAAAAATACTTTTTAAACTGGATTCTCCCTTCAGGGGCTGTGTAAGGAAAGCTCTCATGTGACAAATTTATCAGTAAGTTGCACAGCAGAAATCAAAATTAGAGTTGAGAAGGTTGGGCCAACTGTCTTTAGGTGAAGTGTCTGCAAATATGGCATCAATTAAGTATATCACGGTCCTTGCATGCAATGGAAAACTTCAGCTGCCACTGCTTTTTAAAATTGAGGCGTCTCTGTACGCAGGGATGGAGGATTTCTTGAAGATATACCATTAAGTGAAAAAAGCAAAGTGCATGACAGCATGTAGAATGTGGAACACTTCATTTTCTGAAAAAGTAACACATGTTCACATGTATGAATGTGTTTATAAATGCACAGACTATCGCAGGAAGAGGACCAAAGAGACTGGTAACCCTGCTAGCATCCAGGTTGGGGAGCTGGGTGGCTGGGTGCCAAGGGAAAGGAGG